ACAACACGTAGGAACAACGCTCCCAAGGACAGTATCACAGTATCACGTCAGAGTTGCGCTAGATTGATAACAACTACTTATTAATCTAAACTTTATCGGTGGTAGTTAAAAATTGTGGCAATGTCAAGTTGGATTGACTAGAACAATATATAACCTGAAGTACCAGTCAATTATATTTACACATCAGAGATAATTCAACAAAGTTGAGATCTTAGACGGTGACCTATTTGCCCATTTTTGATATGGTAAATATGAAGAATCTGTTTCAGCCAAGATCAAAACTTAGAGATAATTCAACAAAGATGAGATCTAAGAAGTCTGCAAAGGCAGGTTCCTCATGCAATAAACAAAGGCAGTGAAATTCAACATTTATGTACATATGTGAGCAGTGAGAAGAATATCTTAAAGAGAGGAGAAAAACAAAGAAGGTTAAAAAATAACAGGAAAAATAATTCATGTTTTTCTTAAAAATAACAGGAAATACAACAGAGCAAGCAAAGAGGAAAACGGGGGAAGCTTCCCCTTTTCTTTCACTACGAGTGACAATGTCCTCAGAGTTTCATTACTAATCTATCCTCTTCACTGTCACATTATTTCACCATAGTAAAAGCCTACAAATCATTGAAGTGGCTCCTGATGAGGGGTCACTGCTGGTCCTGGCGCTATTGTGAAATGTAAGCCTCGACGTTGGCCTGCCTGTATCATAAATGCAACTTCAGTTGCTGCAAGTGCTGCTGCTTCCTGTTTCATTACAGACAAAAGAGAAGATAATGAATTAATAATAATAATAATAATTACTACTGAGCAATATATAGTTTTAAACCACTCTTTTTTCTTTTCTTTTCTTTTTTTTTTATCAGCCAATAGTTTAAATCACTCTCTTAAGCAGAGAAAATCAGAGGACTCAGTTTAGCTATCCCATAGATCATAAACACATACAATATGACCGAAGGTAAATGATAACTCTTACAAGTGACAAAAAGAGAAATGAGATTCAAACATAAAAAGCTTATTAGTTCTTAAATGCATCGTTTTTTAACAAGCTGCAAACAACCCACAGCTTTGCCTTAAGATTTTCCCTAGCAAACCTTATTGCTTATGAAACAAAAGAACAGACGTTATAGGCAATAACAGAATCACATGTTTCCAGTATTGTTCTTCACTAAGAAGATGCCCTCTTAGACAGTTCACCTTCCTCAATTAACAACATACTCAAGGAAAGTACTTCAATCACATTTTTTCAGATAATTAGAAAGAAGAACCCAATACCTGTCGTTGCCTTCGACGCTGCAATATGCTGATGGCCCAGGCCATGATGTAACATGGGAGAAGAAAACCAGCAGCACGAAGCAGGAAAAGCTTATCAAAATTAAAAAAGAAAAAGGGTTAAAACACAACATATGTTAACAGCCAAGAGATGAGACCTAAATCCATGGCACACTTACAGAGAAAAAAGTGGAAGCATCATCCTCCCCATCTCCATTGGTGAGGGACATAGCATGTCTCAAGAGTAGAAGGGCCATTAGCTGCAAAAAAACCAATAAAATGAAACCTAGCTATGTATAATATCTGAAAATTAATTTTTAATATCAACTGAAAAATGACAAAGAAAAAAATTTATATAAAATGATGGCCTCATCAACTTAGAACAAATTGTTGCCTACAGCAAACAAATTAGTCTTTAACCTAAGCTAAAACTTACATCAAAATGAAGACAGCACTGAACACTGACTAGTACAATATAACCCAAAAAGAGGGAGCAAACTGTATAATATATATATATATCATCGCTATATGCCATTATGTCTGGACAGCTGTACATGAATATTTGCAGTATGTGATCAGGACTTACTATTAAAGCAGCAGAGCGGCAAAAGGCAGCTCCACTAGCACTAGCATCAGCATATTCATCATAATCAGCTTCCAAAAGATGACGTTCAGCTGCTGCCATTGCCAAAACTCGAGGGTCACGCAAGTCCAGAGGGGCACCAGAGATTGTCCAACCATCACTATGGGAAACAAAATTGACAAACAAAAGAATAATAAACCAAAACCAATGAGAATAAATAACAATCTGTTTCACTGATTGCAAGATTCACTTATATTATAGGTCCTTCATACAGAAAAAAACACATTAAATTAAATCTTATTTATGTGTTATTCATATGTTTGTGCACCAACAAAGATAAAGAAATAAGGGAAAAACATGTAAGACTCAAAGTCCGCATGTTACAAATACACGTAATAATTATTCAAGCAATCAACTCAAACCCCTTGCTTGGTTTGAAGGAAATGGAGGGGAGGGTAGGGAAATGGAAGGAAAATGAGGGAAAACATCTCCCCTCCCCACAAAGCAAACAAGCTAAAAAGTATTATGCTTAGGGGTTGAGCACATTGATGACTTGCCTGATATCAATTGCAGAATCGTCAGTCTGAGGAGGTGGTGGAGCAACATAACCAGGCTGGTAAGGCTGCAAAACAAAGCTTTTTATCATAAGTCGGTGAAGCAATCTCATCAAGCACTCCTAACCAGAATTATTTAAGCTAACAAGTACAGGTCTGTTTTTCATGGACTGCAGATGCCATGACGGAACCAACCATCATTACAGTACTAGACCTCTTTTATTTGTGCACATACCTAGTGCAAATATGGCTTGTGAACAATGCCACATCATATTCAATGAAATTACTAGCTATCAGGCTTCAGGCATTAAGCTAAATGATTTGAACTAAACCAATATGGTATATGAAACTACATTTTGATATGATCTTCTGATGTTTGTAATAGATCAACTGGATATAGCAGTGACACCAGATACCTAAATAGAAGTGACTTACCTGATGGCATATCTCACAAGTTATATCTCCTTTCTCATTGCACCAACGCTGAACACATTTCCTATGAGCAAACTGGAAAATGGAAACTTCGTAATAAGAAGAAGAAAGAAATTACATAACAAATACTTAAAAATAGCTCAAACTTTTAAACAAGTCATCGCCTTCCTTCAGGGACTAAAGGAATCTTAAAGCACTGAATACATTCAAAGTCAAATTTCAAGCAGTGCCTAATAGCATGCAAGTGCAGAATTTAACAAGATAACTGAAATATAAATATAAAAAGAAGTAAGCAATAAATTGTTTAAATAGATTAATACCTTCAAACTGCCACTGCAAGCACAAGGAGTTTCCAAATTCTTAATGTTGTCCTCCTCTTGACAGATTCGACATTCTACCATCTGAATAAGTGGTTCTTCTTCAGATGAACCTTGTTCCTCAGCAGCCTCAACATCAATAGCACATGTCTTTGGCTCAAGAGCAGCAGAATGAGAAGAACCCTCACCAGAAGATCCAGCGGCCTCAGCTCCTTGCAGTGATTGCAAGCTTTCAGGTGTTACGAGGCGGTCAACACACAAAACTAAATGATCACCCATTCCTTATCAAATAAAAATCCTGATACACCAAAAAGCAACAAGAATTCCATCAAAATCCACGCGTCACAAAAGCCTATAACTGATACATCTACTTCCAGTCCAATAATTACCTCTTTCAATTAAACACTGACAACAAATTTCACATAATCATACATATTTTCCCTTTCATTTTCCCAGCAACCAAACAACCCAACTCAGATTCGATTCATTCCCAGCCCATCTCAAAACCGAAACTTGTTCAGTTTTCGATGATCAAAACCAAAAAACAGACCAATCAACAACAGAAAAACTCCTCGCCAAAACCAGTTACATCATCAATTCAAAACCCTAAAATCCATAATTAGATTGATCTTCACACAATGCACTCAGAAAATCAAATTAAAACCAAAAAAAACAAACAATCAGAGATGGTACCTCGAAAAGCCGGAAAATTTACAGTCTTTGTCGGTATGAATCGCAACCCTGAGATAAAAATCAGAGCTTTGTTTGTGTTCCTTTTGCTTTGAAGCGAAACAATTTGACGAGAAGAAAGAGAAGAAGTATAAAGAGGATAGAGACGAGGAGGATTGGTTGAAAAGCCGATGCTGACTTTGTCTTGATAACGTCGGTTAAGAAAGAAGGTAAAACATAACGTTTTGGGTGGTTGAGTAACTCGGGTTTGGTATCGTTTGATAACGGACGTTAGTCCATCATTTAATTTCCACATCTTCACCTTCAATCTTCATATCTTTACTTTAGTCGACATAAATAATGTATGGTTACTAATATCATAATTTCCTTACCTTAAATCCCAAGATTTGGAATTTTTTTTTAACCGAAGATTTGGATTTTTTTTTTTGTTTGTATAGAAATTAGGTAAAAGGGTGTTACGTTCAAATTTTAAATTATATCAAATTATAAAACAATTCAACTTTCTTAAAAATTTTATCAATTTTTAAAAAATCAAAGAAACATCCATTTTATCTTACTAAAAAGGATCAAATAAAAGCGTTAGGAGAACTTTTTTTCATTGGGGTTCGACTTATCTTGACTTTACATTAGTCAAAACCCAATGTGATTTATGATTATCG